CGCCTCCCCGCCTGCCCCGCGCACCCGCTCCCCACGCAAACTTGGCCCGCCGCCCCGCCTGGGCGCTGGGGCCCGCGGCCCGGGGACTCACCTCGCGGGAGAACTTTGCGTCCTTTTCCGCCTTCTCTTCCCCGCGTCTTCGCAGCCTGCAGCCGCCTCCCGGCAGCTGGCGCGGGTGGGCGGTTCGGGGGGTCACCGAAAGCTCGCGGGGGGGACGCGCATCACATGGCAGCTCGTTCACAGCCCCCCGAGTGTGACGGGAAGGGGGAAGGGAAGGGGTGAGGAGAGGCCGGGGGCGAAAGCGAGAGAGGCGGGCGGCGGCGGTGGTGGGCGCTCGAGTTAGCGCGGCTGCGACCGTGGCTCGGGCGTGCACGGCCGCTGCGGCGGCTCCTGTTGCTGCTGCTGCTGCTGCTGCGGCTGCGGCTGCTGGGGCGGCTGAGGCGGCGGCGGCGGCGGCAGCTCGGCGCTGTTTGCTCCGCGCCGCGCGGCTCGAGCTCTCCCCGGAACGCCCACACTCTCAATCGCTACATTGTTGACATTCGGCGCTGACGTCACCCGCTCCCCATTCACAATAACTTTACGGGAGCCGGGCAGCGCACCTCCCCGGCCGCTGGGGCGCCGTACGCCCGGCGACTAGCGTAAGCCGCTCCGCGAATGGCGCTCCTCCGGGGGGCTGGGGCTGGGGCTGGGGCTCGGGGCGGGCGCGCGCGCTTCTCTGGCTCGCGGGAAGGGGCGCGCCTCACGCCGCCGCGGCCACCGATCTCCCGGCTTTGTGCGGCCGCGCGGCTGCCAGAGCCCGCTCCTCCCTGCCCAGCTGACCACTTGGCTCGGCCAGGCCCTGCCTACAAAGAGAAGGAAGGGTGTGTGTGTGTGTGTGTGTGTGTGTGTGTGTGTGTTGGGGGTAGTGCGGCTAGGCTAGGCTAGTGGTGATGGTTAGGGTGGCACGTGGAGAATGAGCCAAGAGCCCTAAGCACTAGCGCTGTATCCGGGGAAGGGAGCCAGACCTCACAACCTAGGATTCCAGGGTTGCCTATCCTTTCTCCCTGGGGAGGGGCTGGAAAAGATGCGTGCAGGCCGCGCGGTGGAAGGAGAGTCTCCCATCGACTGGTGATGGGATGTTTGGATCCCTTTCAGGTGGGTCTGGGCCTGCCCCACCGAGCGAACCTCTAAGACCCCGCAGCCGGATTGTAGAAAGAGTGTCATCTATTGCTAATTAAGAGCCAGCCTTCCCGGTTTCTATAACGTCTGCAGATACTTTGCTTCCTTTCGCTGGGGACGCTGCTTTGTCAGAAGAAAGCTTGATGATGGTTACAGTTATAAGAGTTAAATTAGGACTTAGGCTGGACATAACATTTGCAATAAAATAAGGTTGTGTTAGTGTTGTGCTGGTGCCTGCAACTCAACCTCTTGCCAAGGCCAAGAAATCCTGCCCTGTTTCCCTGAACACCTATAACTGCAAGGCAGTATTCCATATTATTACACGTGGTGCTGATTTTTAATGAATATTATAAAACTTTGGCTCGCTCTACTGAGAGAAGGCTCATAAATCCCCTCTATAAAATGGGCCCTGGCATATGCTGAGGAAGCAGTGAAGCGTCGCCCTGGGAGTCTTGTGATATCATCCAAGTGTTGCTCCAACCACTGACCTTTGAGGGCCCAATTTTCAAAGACAGGTTTGGAATGCCTATGTGGAAAGCACATTTGTGAGGGACCATGACAAGTGCAAGACTGAATTAATTTTTCTATCAGCATAGGAGAACTTCCATTGGTAAGTTTGGTACTGGGAGATCTTTCTCTGCTAAGCTTTCCAGTTTTCAAATGAGGGATGGTCTGTCAGCTAGAAGACCCGTGTCTCTTTATTTCTGATCTAGCACCCCTTGGGATGGACCCCTTCCCTAGAAAGGACAGAATACTGATGCTAACCTAACCAAGCTGTTCTTTGACAGTCCTGGAAGTGACTGGTACTAAGGCTTGCACTCAGAACTTCTTGTTCAGCTAGTGCTATACCACTTGAGCCATATCTCCACTTTTTTTTGCTGTTTAATTGGAAGTAGAGTCTTGTGGGCTTTTCTGCCTGGCTGGCTTCAAACCATGGTTCCTCCAGGAATCAGCTTCCTGAGTATGTGGGATTACAGGCATGAGCCACCAGTGTCTGACTTGCATTCCTCATTCTTGTAAATGTATGATGCAAAAGAAACTGTATACATTTTAATAAAGGCAGGCTTGAAAATATCCATATGAGGATCATAGATTCATTTCTCTTTAGGCAGGCTAAGACTGGCCAGCTATGTGAGGAGACATGGCGATGGGTGAGAAGCCAAATTTGCCCCTTACGTCTGGTTCCAGGTAGATACAGCAAAGGCTAGAAGATGCTGTAAATTAGTTTATTTGCCTGTAGACTTGGATTCAGCATTTGTGAATTAAAACTCTCAAGTATGAGATAGGACGGTCAAGATGACAAAGCCTAATGCACCTGGTGTTACTGAGTCATTCAGAGAGGCTGAATTAAAACTAGTTAACCTGCAGGTTATGCCCACTTCAGTGATCATATATATTCTCTCCATGATGTCAAAGAAGATAAAAAATCATTGCCTTTCAGGAGCATGAAGAAGTCTAGTAGAAAGTTTCATTTTATTTTAGGAGTTGGAAGCAGGTTATTTGAATTGAAACCTGAAAAGAATATTTGGCACTGTATGAATTAGCATGGTAAGTCAAGTGTTAAGGGCTCCTTTCCCACCATGCTACAGAGGTTAGCCAGTGGACACCTTAGCACCTTTATCCTGTTTGCTAGGCTGCCCCTGGCTGATGCTGCTACTCTAACACTTCAGTCATTTGCAATGGGAAACAGATGCAGATCTTTCACTCTGTATTTATGGCAGCAACCTGAGTAGAGGTCAATTTATTTCCCATGCCTGAAACATTCAACCTGTCCTGATGCACCTTTTTCCTACATAGTTACCTGTGTCTTTTGATCTAGAATATGAGCTTCATCTGTCATCATGATATGGTTTCCTAGGCTAATGGCTTTGTATCATGCTATTGAAGCCAATTAACTTTATTTCTAGAATTTATTAAAAAAACAAAGCAGGAAACTGGCTGCTGCAGGCTCATGTCTGTAATCGTAGCTACTCAGAAGGCTGAGATTCCTGAGAATTGCAGTTCAAAGCCAGCCCAGGCAGACTCTTATCTCCAATTAACCACCAGAAAACCAGAAGTGGCAGAGGCTTGCCTTGTGCTCAAGAGCTCAGGGATAGTGCTCAGGCCCAGAGTTCAAGCCCCCCCCCCCAAAAAAAAATCAAAAATGAAAACAGGAAAAAGAAAATAATCAGGTGTGTGTGGGGGAAGTGGAAGAGTTGGGGAAGGGAAAGGATAGTAGGAAAAAAAGGATGGTGTAACAGTGTTTGACAAGAAATGTACTCATTACTCATGTAATTGTAACCCCTCTGTACAGCATCTTTACAATAAAATAAAAATTAAAAAAAGAAAAAGAAGATATGCAAGAAGAAAAGGACCGGGAAAGGAAGACAGAAGAAAGACAGGACAGTTTTGAACTCTTGGATTCCATGCACCCCAGCACCCTAGACAGAATTTGATAATGTTGAGAAGATTGTAATAGTTCTTCCTAAGGCAAAACAGTAGGCAGAATTTCCAGTGTAGCACCTTGAATCATCTCAGCAAAGTTAGTACCCAATGAAATCATGACAAAAGGGATTAGAGTAGGATGCTGGGAGGAAGAATGCCCAAGACAGGAAGAGCCTAGTGATGGAGGGAAGTTCTGTTGATGAGGAAAATTCTCACTGGGACAAGTACCTTGGAATTATGACTAATGTTTACTATGTCAAAACTAGATGTTAATGTACATCTATCTAAACTGTAAAGCCCTAGCTTAGCAATGCCTAGGTGACACTTTGAAGAACTGATGGAATTGGAAAAGCTTTGGTGATTGGCTCAGTAATTGTTGACTTGCCTATTACATGGTTATTTCTTCCATCTATTCTATTTTGCTGGAATGGAACAGTAAACAGAACAAAGCCTCTGATCTCGTGGAATTTTTATTCTAGTGTTGAGTTTGGGAAAAAGACAATGAGCCAAACATATATCTATGTCTAAGCTATAGATATAAATGGGGTGAGCTCATGTGTTGGGATGGCTTAGAGTGAAGCATGTAAAGATAAGTAGCAAGGCTTTGGAGTGATAGGGGTTGAGGTTCTTCTTAAGTTGGGTCAAAGAAGTGTTTCTTGATAAGAAAATATATATTTAAGAAGAAATATAAATGAAGAAAGAGGATAATTGCTGCACTTATCTTGAGGGGGGGGGAAGCTTTTCAAATATCAAGAAGAACAAGTGCAAAGACCTGAAGGCAGGGTAGATTTGGCATGTTTCAGGAACAAAACCAGCAGAGGCCCTTGTGATTGATGCACAAGAGTAGGGCGAAGTGTAGCTGAGCCACAATTCTAGAGGTATAGCCAGCAGATTGGGGGGGAATGGGAGGTTATTTATAGGGATTTCTGTAGATAATGAAAACCAGTTAGCCTGGATTCCTAAAGGATCACTGTTTACTAAGTAGAAGGGAGAGTAAAAGTGGAAGTGGACAGACCAGGCAAGAGGCTTTTGAGGTCAGCTAGCAGGACTAGAACATCAGCCATAAGTGAGATCTAGACACATTTTCAAAGATTAAGTTGGACAGGATTTATTGATGATTCATCTGTGGAATGTGAGAGAAGGGGAGCCAAAGGCGGCTCTGGATTTTGGAGTGGAGATACAACTTAGTGAAACATGGGAGAAAGCACAAACATTTGGTTTTGGATAGCTGATTTTAGATGCCTACCAAATATGTAAATGGAAAATTGAGCAAATAATTAGATATGGGAACCTAGAAGTCAGAAAAGACATCCAGACTCGAGGTAGAAACATGAGTGGCATCAACATTTAAAACATTTGAGAACATAGAGAGGGAAAAGGATGGGGAGTAGGGAAGGGGAGAGGGAAGTGGAGAGAGGGGGTGGGAGGGGGAGAAGAAAGAAAAGAGGAAGGAAGGGGAAGGGCAGGGAGAGGGGGAATGCAAATCTAGAAGGAGGAAAAGAGGGGAAGAAGAGAAAAGAGGGGAGAATCTCATCTCTAATAAACATTTAGAGTCTGGAGGATGAAGAAAATAAGGACAATCAGCTAATAGGTGAATAAGCAGCAGCCCTAAGAGTAAAGGGAGAGAGGATGCTCCATGCTAAAAGTCAAGTGAAAGAGGATGTTGGAAAAGCAAGGAGATTTTTGCTGTGCTGAAGTTGTCAATGGGACAAATAAAATAAGAGAACACATC